CTATTCTATTCTATTCTATTCTATTCTATTCTATTCTATTCTATTCTTCTTTGCTTCTGCTTCTACTTTTCTCCTTCTCTTCCTTCTCTTCCTTCTCCTCCTCTATTCTATTCTTTTCTGGTTCTGCTTTTCTCCTTCTCCTCCTTCTATTCTTCCTCCTCCTCCTATTCTATTCTATTCTTCTTTGCTTCTGCTTCTCCTTTTCTCCTTCTCTTCCTTCTCCTCCTTCTCCTCCTTCTATTCTTCCTCCTCCTCCTATTCTATTCCTCTGCTTCTGCTTCTCCCTTTCTCCTTCTCTTCCTTCTCCTCCTCCTCCTCCTCCTCCTTCTCTTCCTCCTCCTTCTATTCTATTCTATTCTATTCTATTCTATTCTATTCTATTCTATTCTTCTCTCTTTCTCCTCCCTTTTTTTCCTTTCTCCTCTCCTTCTCATTAATATATTAGTCCCTGCTCTTGTTCCTCTTACTCCTTGTCTTCATCTGACAAGTGACAATACCAGCAACTTTGCACATGCGTGCACACACACACACACACACACACACACAGAGAGAGAGACCATAGGCAGCTTTGTTCCTGGCTGTACCTTCAACATGTTTTATTCTAACCATTTTCCCCCTGTCTTCTTATTTAGAGCTGCTCAGATTATATTTTATTTTGCTGTTTGTGGAATATGTTTTATGGTGCTATTCAATGGCTGTGATGTGTCTCCTCTTTTATTGGCAGAGTTGTATTTTAATTTTGCTTTTCTTTAAAACGTGTGAGGCTGCCTTATGCATCGTCATGGCAAGGTGAGAGATAAATACCAAAGTGAATCAATAAAAATAATGTCCTGTTGACTGAGGAATCATACAGGTTTCAGTTAGGGCGATGAAAACGCAAAAGGCAGGGATGGAGAACTCAAGAGCTCGATTTAGCAGGAGGCGGAGCTTTAAGGGAGGAGCAACTTTGCTTCCATATTAAGCTCCACCCCTACCACTACTTTTGCCTAGTGGTAAAGGCACTAGCTAGATGTCAGGAAACAGTGAATTATAGTCCCGCCTTAGGCATGGAAGCCAATTGGGTGACTTTGAGCCAATCACCAGGAGACTGGGAGTTCT